TTGGAACTTAATGGTCTATTTGCATTTTCCATTTATTACTAATTAAATCTTGGGAGATTATGTGTTTCCTAGAATTGATCTATTTCCTCTAGATTTTCTAATTTTGTGTATACATGGGTTCATAATAGTCTCTGAAGATGTTTTGCATTTCTGTGGGATTGGTTGTAATATGATCTTTGTCATTTCTGAGTTGCTTATTTAGATCTTCTCTTTTTTTGTTTGTTAATCTAGTTAGTAATCCATCACTTTGTTTATCATTTCATCAACTTTTCATTTCATTGATGCTTTGTATGGGTTTTTTGGTCTCGATTTCATTAAGTTCTTCTATGATTGTGATTATTTATTTTCTTCTGCCAGCTTTGGGGTTTTTATTATCTTTGTTTTTCTAGTTCCTCTGGGTGTGATGTTAGATTTTTAATTTGAGATCTTTCTGTCTTCTTGATGTAGGTATTTAGTGCTATAAATATTCCTCTTAACACTACTTTTGCTGCATCCAGAGGTTTTGATATGTTTTATCTTTATTGTCATTTGTTGCAATGAATTTTTAAATTTCTACCTTAATTTCATCATTTACTAAAAAGTTATTTAGAAGCAAGTTTTTTAGTTTCCATATATTTGTGTGGTTTTGAGAGTTCCAGTTGGTACTGATTTTGGGTTTGTTCCACTGTGGTCCAGGAAGATGCTTGTTATTATTTCAATTTTCTTGAATTTATTGAGATTTGCTTTATGGCTCAGGATGTGGTCAATCTTAGTTTATGTTCCATGTGCAGATTTGAAGAATGTATATTCTGTGGTTGTCGGATGGAGTATTTTGTAGATGTCTATTAACTCTCATTGGTCAAGGGTTGAATTTAACTTCAGAATTTCATTGTTTGATTTCTGTATCTGTCTAATGCTATCAGTGAAGTATTAAATTCTCCCACTATTATCATGTGGCTATCTAAGTATTTTCTTAGGTCTACAAGTAATTGTTTTATAGATCTTGTGCTCCAATTGGGTACATATATATTTAGGATAGTTAAATCTTCTTGTTGAGTTGAATGTTTTATCGTTACACAATGTCCTTCTTTGTCCTTTTTTTTTAACTGTTGTTGGTTTAAATTCTGTTTTATTTGACATAAGAATAGCCACGTCTGTCATTGGTTCCGTTTATATGATGGATTATGTTTATTGATTTGCATATGTTGAATCAGACTTGCATCATAGGGATGAAGCTGACTTGATCGTGATGGATAAGCTTTTTGACGTGTTGCTGGATTCAGTTTGCCAGTATTTTATTGAGGATTTTCACATTGATGTTTATCAGGGATATTGGCATGAAATTTCCTTGTTTTGTTGTGTCTCTGCCAGGTTTTGATATCAGGATGATGCTGACCTCATAAAATGAGTTTTTGATTGGTGGGCTATTTATTACTGCCTCATTTTCAGAACTTGTTATTGATCTATTCAGGGATTTGCTTCCTCCTGGTTTAGCCTTGGGATGGTATATTTGTCCAGGAATTTATCCATTCTTCTAGATTTTCTAGTTTATTTGCATAGAGTTGTTTATAATATTCTTTGATGGTAGTTTGTGTTTCTATGGGATCGGTGGTGATTATCTCAATAGATGCAGAAAAGGCCTTCTATAAAATTCAACACCCCTTCATGCTAAAAGCTCTCAATAAACCAGGTATTGATGGTACATATCTCAAAATAAGAGCTATTTATGACAAACACATGGACAATATCGTACTGAATGGGCAGAAGCTGAAAACATTCCCTTTGAAAACCAGCACAAAACAAGGATGCCCTCTCTCACCACTCCTATTCAACATTTTATGGGAAACACTGGCCAGGGCAATCAGGCAAGAGAAAGAAATAAAGCGTATTCAAATATGAAGAGAGGAAGTCAAATTTTCTCTGTTTGCAGATGCCATGATTGTATATTTAGAAAACTCCATCATCTCAGCCCAAAATCTCCTTGTCTCAGGATACAAAATCAATGTGCAAAAGTCACAGACATTCCTATATACCATTACTAGACAAAGAGTCAAATCATGAGTGAACTCCCATTCACAATTGCTACAAATAGAATAAAATACCTAGGAATACAAGTTACAAGGGATGTGAAGAACATTTTCATATCAAACCACTGCTCAAAAAAATAAGATATGACACAAACAGATGGAAAAACATTCCATGCTCGTAGATAGGAAAAATCAATATCATAAAAATGGCCAGACTGCCCAAAGTAATTTATAGATTCAATGCTATTCTCATCAAGCTACCATTGACTTTCTTCACACAATTAGAAAAAACTACTTTAAGTTTCATATGGAACAATAAAAGAGCCTGTATACCCAAGACAATCCTAAGCAAAAAGAAGAAAGCTGGAGCCATCATGCTACCTGACTGCAAACTATACTACAAGGCTACAGTAACCAAAACAGCATTGTACTGGTACCAAAACAGATACATAGACCAATGGAACAGAACAGAGACCTCAGAAATAATACCACACACCTACAACCATCTGATCTTTGACAAATCTAACAGAAATTAGCAATGGGGAAAGGATTACCTATTTAATAAGTGGTGTTGGGAAAATTGGCTAGCCATATACAGAAAACTGAAACTGGGACCCTTTATTACACCTTATATAAAAATTAAGATAGATTAAGAACGTAAATGTAAGACTTAAAACCATAAAAACCCTAGAAGAAAACCCAGGCAATACCATTCCAGACATAGGCATGGGCAAAGGCTTCATGACTAAAACACCAAAAGCAAAGGCAGCAAAAGCCAAAATTGGCAAATGGGATCTAATTAAACTAAAGAGCTTCTGCACAGCAAAAGAAACTACTATCAGACTGAATAGGCCACCTACAGAATGGGAGAAAATTTTTGCAATATATTCATCCGACAAAGGATTAATATCCCCAGAATCTACACACAAAGAACTTAAACAAATTTACAAGAAAAACACAAACAACCCCATCAAAAAGTGGGCAAAATGTACAAACAGACACTTCTGAAAAGAAGACATTTATGTGGCCAAAAAACATATGTAAAAATGCTCATCACTGATCATTAGAAAAATGCAGATGAAAACCACAATAAGATACCTTCTTATGCCAGTTAGAATGGCAATCATTAAGAAGTCAGGAAACAACAGATGCTAGAAAGGATATGGAGAAATGGGAATGCTTTTACACTGTTGATGGGAGTGTAAATTAGTTTAATCACGTGGTGGTTCCTCAAGGATCTAGAACCAGAAATACCATTTGACCCAGGAATCCCATTACTGAGTATATACCCAAAGGATTACAAATCATTCTACTACAAGGGACACATGTACACATATGTTTATTGTGGCACTATTCACAATAGTAAACACTAGTAAAAACCAACTCATATGCCCATCCATGATAGACTGGATAAAGAAAATGTAGCACATATGCACCATGAAATACTATGCAGCCATAGAAAATGTTGAGTTCATGTCCTTTGCAGGGACATGAATGAAGGTAGAAATCATCATGTTCCACAATAACACAGGAACAGAAAACCAAACACCACATATTCTCACTCATAAGTGGGATTTGAACAATGAGAACACATGGACACAGGGAAGGGAACATCACACACCAGGGCCAGTTGAGGGGTGGGGGGTTATGGGAGGGATAGCATTAGGAGAAATAACTAATGTAGATGATGGATTGATGGGTGTGGCAAACCACCATGGCACATGTCTATGTAACAAACCTGCATGTTCTGCACGTGTATCCCAGAACAAAAGTATAATAAAAAACAGAATAGTGACTTCTATTTTTTTTTGTTTTGTTTTCTGTTTATGTGATAGAACTTTCTTCTACTTTGAGCCTATCAGTGTCACTGCATGTGAGGTAGGTCTCTTGAAGACAGTAGAAGGATGGGTGATTGTTATTTTTTATTGTATTTATTTATTTATTTTAGGATGGGTGATTTTTAAATCCAATTTGCCACTCTGTCTTTTAAGTGAAGTGTTTAGGCTATATCATAGTGTTGTTAGCTAGTTGCTTTGTAGTCTCGATTTTGTAGTTGCTGTATAGCATCTGTGGACTATCTGTTACCATGTGCTTTTCTGGTAGTGAACATCATTCTTTCATTTCCATGTTTAGAACCTTCTTAAGCATCGATTATAGGACTCATCTGGTGGTAAAAAATTCTAGTAGCAATTGATTGTGTAGAAAGACTCTAGTTCTCCTTCATTTACGAAGCTTAAATTGGCAGGATATAAAATAGTGGCTAGTATTTCTTTTCATTAAGAATGTTAAAAATGAGCCCCCATCATCTTCTGAGTTGTAAGGTTTCTGCTGAAAAACCCATCTCTTAATCTGATGGATTTCCTTTTATAGGTAATATGGTTCTTTTCTCTTGCTGCTTTTAAGATTTTTTTCTCTTGTGTTGACCTTGGATAGTCTGATGACTAAGTGCCTTCAGAATGGTCATCATCTATAGGATTTCAGTGGAGTTCCTTGGTGATATGGTTTGGCTATAACCCCACCCAGATCTCATCTTGAATTGTTGAGAAACTCTGTGTGTGTGTGTGTGTGTGTGTGTGTGTGTGTGTGTGTGTGTGTGTGCATGTGTGCATGTGTGTAGTGATGTAATTCAGGCTGCAGAACAGTAGATGATGGCACTTAAGAAAGAGTAAAAGCCAGCAGGTTGGCTCTTACTCTGTATGTGCTTGTTATTAGCCTGGGCAATGATGACAGAGAAGTGAGGATAAACACCCTCCCTCTTGCATGCTTCCCTTTGTCAGAGGTATAGCTGCTCTAGAAGCTGGAGAAGTGGCCTCTTTCATTCCATTACTTCCAGGACCCAATAGGATGAGCCTTACCACATATGCAGCAGTGCACAGGGAGAGGAGCAAGGATGAAGTGATGGATGACACCCTTTCCAGATTCTTTCACAGGCATTAATGGTGCCCTATGCAGTGAGTGGCATTATGCTTGTGCTTTCTTTGACCCAAGGGATGCCTTGTTGGGCAGTGCTCCTCTCTTAGTTAGGAGTTGTCTGCACTGAGGTTTAGATATCTGGGGGAATGGGGACTGCCTCCTTCTTACTCTTCAGAGCTGGTGAGGCACTATTCCCTAACTGATCAATGAAGCAGGCTGGGGCACACAGCCATGACACAGCCATGACACAGGCCGACAGGTTCCAGGTTGCAAAAGCTGTTCGTGGCTGCAAGTCTCAACACCAAGGAGAAACCTCAATATCAGCAACCCTCCCCCTGCTGCGGTCCTGTAATGGGAGAAAGTCTAATTCCAGCACCTACTGATGGGGTGTATGTGACATATGCTACTCAATCCTGGCTCCCACTCCAAAGCAAGCATTTCTGATTCTGAGCTGACACTGCAATGCCCGCAATAGCTGCTACTGCCAGGTAGCCAAACCATGAATATCTTTGTAAAGCCTGGATTATAAATGGAGTCTTCCTCTCAGTCTCAGATCTAGGAAAATGCTGGGAGCTTTTGCTGGTGTCTCTGTCTCTGTCTCTTAGATTCTACCCAAGTTAGCTCCAGAGTTGAGAGAAACATTGTGCTCTCTCATGGCCTTAATTACACAGATCTCCAGTGGAAGGTGAGTGACAGAGGGAGACTGACTGCCTCTCTCTTATACTGGGGCTTCACTCACTTTTATCAGCTGATTGCTATCATGGGGGCTGCTTGCCCACCTTCTCCCCTGGGCTTGGAGTGTCCTCCAGTATTCTGGTGAATTTCCATTTTCCTTCTTGAATTAAATCTCAAAAAACTGATTTTTATGCACTATTTTGCTACTTTCAGGTGACTAAGTCATGCTAAGAGACTCTAATCTGCCATCTTGGGAACAACAACAACAACAACAAAACCTCTCTTGTTATTGATGTCTACATTTACTTCATTGTGGTCTAAGAATATACTTGATACAATTTTGATTATTGAAAAATTTGTTGAGGGTTGTTTTCTGTCCTGGAGAGTGATGTATCCTGGAGAGTGTTCCATCAGCTGATGAGCAGAATGTGTGCTCTGTAACTGCTGGATGAAATGCTCTGCAAATGTTTTTTAGGTCCGTTTGGTCTAATGCAGAATTCAAAGTTTCTTTGTTAATTTGTTAATTTTCTGTCCAGATGATCTGTGTAATGCTGAGAGTGCAATATTGAAATCCTCAATGTATTGGAAACTATCTCTCCCTCTAAATTTAATATTTGATTTATATGTCTGGATGCTTTGGTGTCAGGTGCACGTACATTTAGAAGTGTTGTATGCCTTTGCTGACTTGATCCCTTTGTCATTATATAATGAATTTATCTGTCTCATTTTATAGTTTTTGAGTTAAAATATGTTTTTTTTTCCTGATATAAGTACAGCTATTCCTACTTGCTTTTGGTTTTCATTTTCATGGAATATCTCTTTCCATCCCTTTACTTTCAATTTATATCTATCTTTAAAGGTGAGATGAGTTGTGTTAGCATATAGTTAGGCCACATTTTTAAAATCCATTCAGCCACTGCATATCTTTTTATGTGAAAACTTTAATCCATTTACATTGAGGATTATTGATATGTGAGGCTTTGTTCAAGTCATTTTATTCAATGATTTCTGGTTGTTTCATATATCTTTCGTTTATTTCTTTCTCTTTTACTGTTTATCATTATGGCTTGTGGTTTTCTGTAGTGGTAATATTTGAGTCTTTTCTCTTTTTTGTTTGTGTGTTTGCTCTACCAGTGATTTTAATATTTTCATGCGTGGTAGATAATTTTCTTTTACTTTCAGGTGTAGGACTCCCGGAAGCATTTCTGCTTTCTGGTATCTGACTGTTATTTCTGATTCAGGGGTTACATGTGCAGGTTTATTACCTGGGTATGTTGTGTGATGCCGAAGTTTAGGGTGCAAATGTTCCTGTTATTGAAGTACTAAGCATAGTACCCAACAGGTAGTTTTTCAACCCTTGCCGCCTCTCCTCCCTCCCCTGTCTAGTAGTCATGAGTGTCTGTTGTTTGTATCTTTCTATCAATAAGTACTCAGTGGTTAGCTCTTCCCGATAAGTGAGAACTTGCAGTATTTCATTTTCTGTTTCCGTGTTAATTAACTGAGGGTAATGGCATCCAGCTGCAAAGGACAACTTTATTCTTTGGTGTGGCTGCATAATATTTCATGGTGTATTAGTCTGTTCTCACGTTGCTAATAAAGACATACCCAAGATGAGATAATTTATAAAGGAAAGAGGTTTAATGTACTTACAGTTCAGCATGGCTGGGGAGGCCTCAGGAAACTTACAATCATAGTGAAAGGGAAAGCAAACATGGCAACAGAAAGAAGAATGAGTGCCCAGTGAAGGGGGAAGTCCCTTATAAAACATCAGATCTTGGGAGAACTAATTCACTATTATGAGACCAGGATGGGGGGAAACCACCCACATGATTCAATTAACTTCCACCAGGTCCCTCCCATGACCCGTGGAATATGGGAACAATTCAAGATGAGATTTGGGTGGGGACACAGCCAAATTATATTACATGGTGTATATATACCACATTTTCTTTACTCAACTCACTATTGATGGGAGCCTAGCTTAATTCCATATCTTTGCTGTTTTGCATTGTCCTTCAATGAACATGTGAGTGCACATGTCTTTTTAGGAGAACAATTTGTTTTCTTTTCAATATATACCAAGTATTGGGGTTGCTGTATCAATTGGTAGTTCTGTTTTAAGTTCTTTGAGAAATCTCCAAACTGCTTTCTACAGTGGTTGAATTAATTTACATTCCCACCAACAGTGTTAAAGCATTCTCTTTTCTCCATAGCCTCACCAACATGTGTGTTTAAAAAAATTTTTAGTAATAGCAAGTCTGACAGACGCAAGATGGTATCTCAATGTGATTTTGATTTGCATTTTGCTGATTATTAGTAATTTAGAGCATTTTTTCCCAGTGTTTGTTGGCTGCTTGCATGCTTCATTTTGAGAAATGTCTGTTCATGTCTTTTGACCATCTTATGGGGTAGGGAGGTATTTGATTTTTGCTTGTGGAATTCTTAAAGTTCCTTATAGATTCTGGATATTGATTCTCCCAGTCCCTGAGCATGAATTGTTTTTCTACTTGTTTGCGTCATCTATGATTATTTTTTCACAGCGTTTTATGATTCTTATTGTAGAGAACTTCTACCTCTTTGGTTAAGTGGTTTGGTTAAAATATTTTTTTTTTTTTGATATGGCTATTGTAAATACCACCATCACCATCTCCTCCTCCTCCTCCTCTTCTTCTTCCTTCTTTCTTCTTTTTCTTCCTTCTTCTTCTTCTTTCTTCTTTTTCTCCTTCTTTTTTTAAGACGAACTTTTGCTCTTGTGGTCCAGGATAGAGTACAATGGCGCGATCTCAACTCCACAACCCCCGCTTCCTGGGTTGAAGTGATTCTCCTGCCTCACCCTCCTGAGTAGCTGGGATTACAGGCATTTGCCACCATGCCAAACTAATTTTGTATTTTTAGTAGAGATGGGGTTTCTCCATGTTGGTCAGGCTTGTCTTAAACTCCCGACCTCAGGTGATCCACCAGCCTCGGCCTCCCAAAGGGCTGGGATTACAGGCATGAGCGACTACACCTGGCTTACATTCTTGATTTGAATCTCAAGTTGAATGTTATTGGTGTGTAGAAATGCAACTGAATCTTCTACACTGATTTTGTATTGTGAAACTTTACTGAAGTTTATCAGTTCCAGGAAACTTTTGGTAGAGTCTTTAAGGTTTTCCAGGCATAAAATCATATTGTCCATGAGGATATGTATACTGTGAGTTCTTTACTTGTTTGGATGTCTTTTTCTCTTTCTTGATTGCTGTAGCTAAGACTTCCAGTACACTATGTGTAATAGGAATGGTGAGAGTAGGCATCCTTGTCTTTTTGCAGTTCTCAAAGGGAAGTTTTCCAGTTTTTGCCCATTCAGTAGGGTGTTGGCTCTGGGTTTGTCATAGATTACTCTTACTATTTTGAGGTATGTTTTTTCAATGCCTAATTTCTGAAGGGTTTTATTATGAAGGGGTGCTTAATTTTATCAAAAGCTTTTTCTGTGTCTATTGAGAAGATTACATGGTTTTTGTGTTTAATCTTGTTAATGTGATAAACCATATTTATTAATTGGCATATGTTGAACCAACCTTCCATCCCAGGAATGAAGCTTACTTGATCATTGTGAATTAACTTTTTGATATGCTGTTGAATTTTGTTTACTCATATTTTGTTAAAGATTTTTGTGTCTATGTTTATCAGAGATATTGACCTGTAATTTTCTTTTTTGTATATGTCTTTTCCATGTTTTGGTATCAGAGTAATGCTGGCTTCATAAATTGAGTTAGAGAAGAGTTCCTGCTCCTTGATATTTCGGAATAGTTTCAGTAGAATTGGTACCAGATTTTTTTCATATGTTTGGTAGAATTCTGCTGTGAATCCATCTGGTCAGGGGCTTGTTAAGGTTTTTGTTACTGATTCAGTTTAGGAACTCATTATTGGTCTTTTCAGGGTTTCAATTTCTTTCTGATTCACTTTTTTTAAATTTTATTTTTCTATAGGTTATTGGGGTACAGGTGGTGTTTTGTTACATGAGTAAATTCTTTAGTGGTGACGTGAGATTTTGGTTCCCCTATCACCTGAGCAGTATACACTGCACCCTATTTTTAGTCTTTTATTTCCCACCCTCCTCCCACCCTTCCCCCGCAAGTTTCAAAAGTCCATTGTACAATTCTTATATTTTTGCATCCTCATAAATTAGCTCTTACATATCAGTGAGAACATATGATGTTTGGTTTTCCATTCCTCAGGTACTTCACTTAGAATAATAGATTCCAATCTCATCCAGGCAGATGTGAATGCTCTTAATTAATTCTTTTTTAATGGCTGAGTAGTATTCCACTGTATATATATGCCACAGTTTCTTTATCCACTCATTGATTGATAGGCATTTGGGTTGGTTCCATGATTTTGTAATTGTGAATTGTGCTGCTATAAACATGCATATGCA